TCAGCAGTAGAGCCTCCTCAGTAGTAGATCCTCCTCAGCAGTAGATCCTCCTCAGCAGTAGATCCTCCTCAGCAGTAGATCCTCCTCAGCAGTAGAGCCTCCTCAGCAGTAGATCCTCCTCAGCAGTAGATCCTCCTCAGCAGTAGATCCTCCTCAGCAGTAGATCCTCCTCAGCAGTAGATCCTCCTCAGCAGTAGATCCTCCTCAGCAGTAGATCCTCCTCAGCAGTAGATCCAGTATGAGTGTAACAGGAGTGGACCTTCAGTCTTTGTGTGAGGAACAGGTCTTGAATAAAGCCACAGCCCAAACATCCACTGATCGCTGACTTTGCCATAATGCCTTCAGGGTGTTGTTTGATGTAGATTTATGTTTCCTTTGATGTTGTTCTGCTTTAACTTGTTTACACCGAGAACCAACGCAACGGCCACGACAGGATTTATGCTTTTGTGCGTCTGCCACAAAACTGTTTGTGTTGTTTTGTTTTATAGAAGTGTGTGTTTATAGACTGTGTGTGTGTGTGTAGACTCTGTGTGTGTGTGTGTGTGTAGACTGTGTGTGTGTGTGTGTAGACTGTGTGTGTGTGTTTGTGTAGACTGTGTGTGTGTGTTTGTGTAGACTGTGTGTGTGTTTGTGTAGACTGTGTGTTTGTGTGTTTGTGTAGACTGTGTGTGTGTGTTTGTGTAGACTGTGTGTGTGTGTTTGTGTAGACTGTGTGTGTGTGTGTGTGTGTGTTTGTGTAGACTCTGCACTTGTTTTCAACTCCTGGTGGGTTCCATAACCTGAGATTCCACTCACGTCATGGGGACTGGTTTTACGTGGTGGGGCCCGAACACCGGACCCCACTGGTCCAAGCTTAATAATCAATGGGTAATGCTTTTCTAACGGTCCTTATGCAGTCTCTGTAAAAATATGGAAAGGACCCCTGGAGGTTTACTTTCCTGAAAAAAGTGTGTTATGTGTCGGAACCCTGGTGGTGGGTTGCGGGATATCAAGGAGGGGCACACTGGGGCAATTTCAGTCCAGCAGGCTGGAGCCAATCATGGAGCAGCACAACAGAGGAAATCAGGTGTCAGGCTAGAAAAAGGTGCAAGTGTGTGGTTCATTAGGCTGCAAGAAATCATGGAGGAGCACACTGAAGCGCACGCTTACAAACCACTGGTAAGTGCTGACTACAAGTCATGACTTCAAATTGTTATATAGAATGATTACAAATTATTTGTTGTTTGTGCAGCTTAGTCAAGAGTCCCTAATTGATGAAGTCGACTCAGATTCTGACGATTTAACTGTCAAGAAGAAACCTGTAAAAAAGTATGGAAAAAGAAAAATCAAAAACACTTTTCTTCAAGACTCGGAAAGTGACGAACCAAAGGCAAATAAGATTGTTATCATGCAGCTGCAAAAGAAGAAAAATGGGGGGCGAGTATACAGCAAGAGACACTTCTGCCTCTACTGTTCAATGTCCTGCCACAAAATGTCCCGTCATTTGACTAGAAAACATGGAAATGAAAGTGACATAGCCAGAGCATTGGCTCTACCTGTGAAATCTAAAGCACGTAAACTTCAGTTTGATTTGATCAGGAATAGTGGAAACCGTGAGCACAATTTTGAGGTTTTAAAGGCCGGCATTGGAACTTTAGTCCCAGCTAAACAGCCAAATTGCCCAGTTAAATCCAGTGAGTTTTTGCACTGTATAGACTGTGGGGCATTGCTTAAGCGAAAGTCGCTGTGGAGGCATGTGGCCAGGTGCCGGCTTTCACAGAAAGATGCCCAGGCTAAACCAGGTAGAAGTAGGGTCCAGTCCCTCTGCTCCCTAGCCCAGCCTGTACCGGAGGGCATCAGCAAAAAGCTGTGGTCTTTAATTTCGGCAATGCATCAGGATGAGGTCACGGGTGTTGTCAAAGCAGAAAAGGGGATTCTGAGACTCGGAGAGCACCTGTACTTAAAACACGGGCATGATAAGACAAAGCATGATTACATTAGGCAGAAAATGAGAGAAGTCGGTAGGTTAATTAACGAAGCAAAAACCGCAGGGAAACTGAAAACAATTAAGGATTTCTTTATTCCTTCCAACTTTAACCATGTGATTGATGCAGTCAGGTCTGTGGCTGGATATGATGAGGAAACAAATCAATACAAGACTCCATCCTTGGCCCTCAAACTCGGCCATAGCCTCAGAAAGCTAGCAGATATTCTTGAATGTGACTCAAAAATGGAGCATTGTGTTGATGAACTATTTATTAAAAACCTCCAACGAAGCCGGCTGCTTTTTGAGAAGAGGTGGGACGTCTGTGTTTCTTCTGCTGCCCTACAGACCCTCCGGCAAGCCAAGTGGAACACTCCGGACCTGCTCCCTCTGACTGAGGACGTTAGAGCCATGCATGCACATATTGAGGTATGTCGACCTGAATATGTGCAAACCCTAATAAGTGAGCCAACGTCTAAGCATTGGTCTAAACTGGCAGTTTTGACTCTTTGTGAGGTCATCATTTTCAATCGAAGAAGGGAAGGTGAGGTTTCAAAGATGCCACTGACAGCCTTTACCTTAAGAAGTAAGACTGGGATCCATTCTGACATTGCTCTGGGACTGTCCCAACTTGAGAAAAAGCTGTGTCAGCATTTTCAACGCATTGAAATTAAAGGGAAAAGAAGTCGGAAAGTGCCGGTTCTTTTGACTCCTGAAATGATTGCTTCGATGGAGGTGCTGGTGGAGAACAGAAGGGCCTGTTCCATCTCTGACCATAACCCATACTTCTTTTCCCGCCCGGGCGCAGACACCCACATCAGGGGATCAGACTCCCTACGCCAGGTAGCCAAAGAATGTGGTGCGGTGCATCCAGAGATGCTATCCTCAAACCAAACTTAGAAAGCACATAGCTACTATGTCTACAGTTCTCAATATGAAAGAGAATGAGATGGACATACTTGCCAACTTCCTCGGCCATGACATTCGCATCCACAGGCAATATTACAGACTACCAGAGGGGACACTGGAGCTGGCCAAAATCAGCAAAGTGTTGATGGCCATGGAGCAGGGAAGAGTGACGGAATTCGAAGGAAAGAGCCTCGACCAGATACAAATTGAGCCTGAAGGTAATTCTTGATATTATTAAAATATGTATGATTTTTTTCCCCTAAAGGCCACTTGTATTTTTATTTTCTGTGCGACAGGGAGAGCAGTAGAGATCCTCTCACAAACGGACGGGCTAAAAGAAACTTCAAGCGGAGAACCTTCAACCATTCATCCAGATGCACCCCATGGTAGTGGCAGTGCCCCTTCTGGTAAGTGTACCAGGTGGGGGATTACAGCCAGGCTGCTTGGTCCTCACCCTGGGAGTGTATATTGCTAATATATTTTTATTTCTCTCCCTAGAACGTGTAAGAAAGCCATGGTCTGCATCTGAGGTGAAGGCTGTGGAGAAGACCATGACACCTTTCATACAGACTGGAAAGGTCCCTGGGAAGTCTCACTGCCTGGCCTGCATTAATGCCTCACCAGATGACCTTAGACATCGGACATGGAGTGGCATTAAATTCTATGTCAAAAATAGAATCACTGCAATTCGAAAACAAAATCTAAAATAAAATTCCTTTAAAATAGTTGTTTGGTTTCTATTGACTGTTTTGTATTACTTAAAGTCTTGGTAAAAAAAGATTATGTCTATGGGTCCCATTCTGAACGGCCCTGTCAAAGGGACCCACCAGGTAACAAAAACGTGTATGTGTGTGTGTGTGTGTGTTTGTGTAGACTGTGTGTGTGTGTGTTTGTGTAGACTGTGTGTGTGTGTGTGTGTGTGTGTTTGTGTAGACTATGTGTGTGTGTGTGTGTTTGTGTAGACTGTGTGTGTGCTTGTGTGTTTGTGTAGACTGTGTGTGTGTGTTTGTGTAGACTGTGTGTGTGTGTGTGTGTGTGTGTGTGTTTGTGTAGACTGTGTGTGTGTTTGTGTAGACTCTGTGTGTGTTTGTGTAGAGTGTGTCTGTGTGTGTGTATTTGTGTAGACTGTGTGTGTGTGTGTGTTTGTGTAGACTCTGTGTGTGTGTGTGTTTGTTTAGACTGTGTGTGTGTGTTTGTGTAGACTGTGTGTGGGTGTGTTTGTGTAGACTCTGTGTGTGTGTTTGTGTAGACTGTGTGTGTGTTTGTGTAGACTGTGTGTGTGTTTATGTAGACTCTGTGTGTGTGTGTTTGTGTAGACTGTGTGTGTTTGTGTAGACTCTGTGTGTGTTTGTGTAGAGTGTGTCTGTGTGTGTGTGTGTGTTTGTATAGACTGTGTGTGTTTGTGTAGACTCTGTGTGTGTGTTTGTGTAGACTGTGTGTGCCTGTGTGTGTGTGTGTTTGTGTAGACTCTGTGTGTGTTTGTGTAGAGTGTGTCTGTGTGTGTGTGTGTGTTTGTATAGACTGTGTGTATGTGTAGACTCTGTGTGTGTGTTTGTGTAGACTGTGTGTGCCTGTGTGTGTGTGTGTGTGTGTTTGTGTAGACTCTGTGTGTGTGTTTGTGTAGACTGTGTGTGTGTGTTTGTGTAGACTCTGTGTGTGTGTGTTTGTGTAGACTGTGTGTGTGTGTGTGTTTGTGTAGACTGTGTGTGTGTGTGTTTGTGTAGACTGTGTGTGTGTGCGTGTGTGTTTGTGTAGACTCTGTGTGTGTGTTTGTGTAGACTCTGTGTGTGTGTTTGTGTAGACTTTGTGTGTGTGTTTGTGTAGACTGTGTGTGTGTGTGTGTGTGTGTTTTAGGGCACTTCTCCTCCCACAGTGTTGGAGCTGAGTTTCTGATCTGTGTTGGTGAATCAACAGTTCTGTAAAGTGTGTTGTGACGTTGGGTCCAGGGCAACACAAAATACATTGTTGAGTTGAAGTTTTCTTTTGGATGTTAAACTTTCGAGCATAACTTTAATGTTGTTTGAA